CCCTCCCCGCAGGCCAGCGGCGCTCAACAGGATCCTCCTGGAGTGGCTGGAGGGGCTCCCACCCGACCCACCCCTGCCTGGGATCTCCCGGCTGTGAGCAGGCACAGCGGTGCAGCCCTGCCCCGACCTGCCCCCACCCGGCCACCGTCTGCCTCGGGGGTTTGGGTTTTACTTTTAGAATTTGATATTTTTACCTTTGGGGTCTGATTTTTACCTTTAGGGTTTGATTTTTTGACCTTTCGGGTTTGATTTTTACCTTTAGGGTTTGATATTTTACCCTTAGGATCTGATTTTTTACCCTTAAGGTCTGATTTTTATGCTTAGGTTTTGATTTTGACCTTTAGGGTTTGATTTTTTCACGTTTAGGGTCTGATTTTTACCCTTAGGGTTTGATTTTTCTGCCTTTAGGGTTTGATTTTTACCTCTTTAGGGCCTAATTTGTATTTTTTTTGGAGGGTCAATGGGTGGGAGCGATGGGTGAGCTGAGACTGGCCGGGGAGGGTAGCATGAAGCATCACTCCTGCTTTCTCAAGCTAAAAGGGTCCCAGTGGGTTCTCGTGGAGGTCTTGGGCTGCTGGGAGATGGTTTGGGGATGGACTTGTCCAGCAGCAACCGACCCTGTCCCAGGGGGCTTGGCTGGAGGTCCCCAGGTCGTGGCGTGATTGGTTTTGAAGTGGAGGTTTTAATGCACTACTACTGCTAATAATAATAATTAATGCTGCCTGAGAAATTACCACCTGCCTTGGAATGTTGAGAAAGCAAATGCCGAGTGAGCAGAGCCCCTCGCCTCTCCCCGGGGCCCATCCCCATGGTGTCAGGGCTCAGCCCCTGCCTGCAGCCACCTTCCCCGAGTTCCCAGCCCTTCTCCTGGCCCCAAAAGACATTACAAACAGATACCCAAGGTGGGCGGGCAGATTTGGGCAAACATGCTCGGTATTTCCCCTCTCCCAGCTCCGAATTCTTGCCCAACCCTCAGCTATTTTTGGCCAGGAACGCTGCGGTTTGTCTGTCTGCATCTGTCCCATGGCAGTGTTTCACGGCCAGATTCAGCCCTGAAAAAGAAGTTGTGTGGATTTGGGATAGAGGGGGAAATAGCCTTTTATGAGGACATCACCCAATGGGTGGATGATGGTAGAGCAGTGGATGTGGTCTATCTTGACTTCAGTAAAGCATTTGACACAGTCTCCCACGGCATCCTCACAGCTAAACTGAGGAAGTGTGGTCTGGATGATCGGGTAGTGAGGTGGATTGTGAACTCGCTGAAGGATAGAAGCCAGAGAGTAGTGGTCAATGGGACAGAGTCCAGTTGGAGGCCTGTATCCAGTGGAGTCCGAGAGCAGTGGATGTGGTCTATCTTGACTTCAGTAAAGCATTTGACACAGTCTCCCACGGCATCCTCACAGCTAAACTGAGGAAGTGTGGTCTGGATGATCGGGTAGTGAGGTGGATTGTGAACTCGCTGAAGGATAGAAGCCAGAGAGTAGTGGTCAATGGGACAGAGTCCAGTTGGAGGCCTGTATCCAGTGGAGTCCGTCAAGGGTCAGTACTGGGACCAGTATTGTTCAACATATTCATCGATGACTTGGATGAGGGAATAGAGTGCACAGTCAGCAAGTTTGCTGATGACACTAAACTGGGAGGAGTGGCTGACACACCTGAAGGCTGTGCTGCCATTCAGAGAGACCTGGACAGGCTGGAGAGTTGGGCGGGGAGAAATTTAATGAAATACAACAAGGGCAAGTGTAGAGTCTTGCATTTGGGTAAGAACAACCCCATGTACCAGTACAAGTTGGGGACTGA